CCAGGACTAGACATGACACTTGGGTATTGCTCGTCCCCTCTCCCGCATCCATGATGTTTCTTAAATTTCTACAGATCTGGACTCGGTGTTTCCGGCTGAGCTAATGTCCTGGCTGGGGGTGCCTTCCTTGGCAATATGTAATTTGTGAATGTTAAACACACAAACGAGGGATGATGGATCCCTCTTTCCAAAATGATTCCGAAATCCCTCACCAGGAGGTGGTCACTGGTGACCGGGGTGGGGGAGAACTCAAGGACAATCAGGTGGTGTCCTGGGATAAAGCACCGAGCACGGATCCGCCAGGGATGAAGGCGAGGCATGGAGGGCCCTGGCAGAGGGCAGAGCAGGAGGGCGGGGCCCTGGAGGAGGAACACCCGAGCGCCGGAGCCGCGCTGTGCTCACGAGAGCGCCAGGGAAACACCAGTTAGGCCTGTAAGTAATCGTATTTGTCAGGCAATCTGGGAACCGCAGGCAGACTCCGCGGCGTATGCTGAACGGCCCCCCAGGCTGCTGACCATAAATAAAGCAAATGAGAAGGGAACTGCAAGGAAAGATTTTTCTGCTCATCGTCAGCTCTCTTGATTACAGAGGACAAATTTAGGCCACAACCCCACCAGCAACTTTATAATTAGTCTTACTTTTCAGTAACAGTGTGTATTCCCTTGGCTGGGTCTCCGAGTTCCGGCAGCTTTGGGGGGGTTGGTGTGGGCAATACACGTGGAGCCTTTATTATCCTTTGGGCTGAGTCACAGCCCAGGAATATGTTGAAATTTGCATCGAGTCAGAGAGGAAAACTAAGAAGTGGTGGTGGTTGGGGGGGGGGGCGCTCTGGAATGAAAACACCGTGTTTGTGGCAGGAGCGGTGAAGGTCTAGGTCAGGGGTGGGGAATGTCCGGTCCTCGGGCAGTATAAGGCATGCGAAATCACTTGGTCTGGCCCTGTCAAGGCATTAGGGTGAGTTAATTAATGTCTGACCAAATACAGCAGGCTGATTTTTAAATGGATCCTTTTGTATGGCCCGAGAATGATGTTATAAACATCCATATGGCCCTTGGCAGATAAAAGGGTCCCACCCCTGGCTTTGAGGAATAGCGGGGGTGTCTGCCATTGCGCCTGAATGTGGGCTGCCTTGCGGCGCCATATTTAGAGTGTCACCATTTTCAACGGAGATTATGGAAACTTCCAGAGACCATCGAAGGCAGGTTGACTGAGAGACGGGATGGAAAACCATGAAAATGGGTCAGAATGTCTATGGAGCCGCCGGGAGTGGGAGGACCCTGTGCTCTCCGGGGGATGAGGAAGGACCAGTCTGCAGGTGAGGCGGGACCTCACAATGCACCCCAGAGGGGACCTCCCCGCGGGAGCCAGCATTTCCCAGCTCTCCCTGCAGAGTGAAGACCCAGGAGGCCTGGAGGGGAAGGAAGACGGCCAATAAGGAGACAGCTCCGTTCATGTCCTGTAACGTGCCCTGGACCAGAGCCCATTTCCACCCTACGGTTTCCCTTTGCTGGCATATGCAGACAGGCCTCTTCATGAAAGCAGACTGTGTGCTGGGCTGAGGGTCAGAACATTCGACTGGGACCCAGGAGGGGGACTCAGGCCCTTGTGCTTTCAGGAGCAGCCCGGCTCCCAGGGGCCGAGAATCAGCCCAGTTTTACGGTCAAACTCCTAAAGGGGGAAGTTAACTTGAGGAGCAGGCAACATGGGTTCTGCCAGCTGTTGTCTTCCTGACAGTTGTTCTGCATAACCTGCTTTTCTGTGTTTACAAATGGAAGTATCGGGCCTGAAACGAACATTGTACTGGGGATGAAAACCTTATTAATACACAAACTGCTTTTTAAAATGTCAATCAAGTCTTACCATCCCTGAGAAATAATGACCACGTGAAGGCTGGTACCTTCTATCTTTTAATATCCAAAAGACTAGTATTAAGAGGTGTAAGATGCAATGAGAGAGACATAAAGGACCGATCACCAGTGGCCTCCCACCCCGAGTCTAAGCCAGTGGTCTGCAGTGGCCTCCCTGCACACATGGCCTGGTGCTCCCCTCCTCTCTGACCGCAGGCCTCCTCTCCTACTCCCTCTCCAGCCTCCCGACTCTGCTCCAACCACACTGGCGCTTCCCTTCCTTGGCTTAATAAACACGGCAACATAATCCCACCCCAGGGCCTTTGCACTTGCCGTTCCAGTCCCTCTGCCTGGAGTGCTTTCCCCCAGAGATGCACACACACAGACATTCCTCATTTCCTTCTCATTTTAACTTTATTTGTACACAAGGCCCTCCTCGGCCACACTAGCTAAAATGTCAATCCTGCCCCAACACTGTGTTCTTGTCCTGCTTTGTTACTTTTCTTCTTAGCTTTTCAACTATTATATAGTCCTTTTTTTTTTTAAACGTGTCTACTGTCTCTCTTTCTTTATACTGTAATCTTAATGAAGGTACAGGTCATGTCTGTCCATGGCTGTTACCATAGTAAGCGTGCGTTCAATAAGTATGTGTTGAATGAGTAAACGACCAAGTCCATGGATGTAACTTGTCAGAAAGGGTTGACTCTCTCCCCCACCCACCTCGAAACAAAGATTTCTTCGGGGGTAGCTCTGCTGCTCAACACAAGCATTTCTTTCCATTCTCCTACCTCGGGCTCTTAGCGACAGAGGGTCCAACTCCTTGTCACCAGTACTTGAGTGCTGGCAACTATAAAAGCCGCCTCCACAGAACGGTTCTTAGGTATAATGGCAGAGACCTGGTAGATGCTCCCCGAACCTCCTTCTCCTGCCCGGCTCACAGGTACATGCCCCTCTCAGCCCTGCATCTCAGCGGGGCTGTGTGGCCCGTGGGGTGCAGGCAGGAGTGACGAGTGCCACCTCTAGGCCTGGCCCCTAGACGTTCCTGCCTCTGTCCTCCTGCTCTCGCCTCATTGGCCAGTTGAATAATGAGGACTCAGTGGAGGATTTCAAGGCCCTAAAAGGTGGAGCCAAGGGACAGAAGAAGCCTGGGTCCCTGAATCACCATGTGGATCTGAGTTCCCCTCCCCCACACCACGGAGGACTGCGCCAAGAATGTGAAAGAAGCCTGCGCCATGTGCTAATCCGCTGAGGCTTTGAGGCGGCTTGTTAAAACGGCGGGTGTGACTTACTCCGATATAGACCTCGAGGCCATTATGTTAGTAGTGCCACGACAGCAGCAACGCACTCGGTTATCAGCTAGAGGCACATTCCCCAGAGACCACATCTGCCTTTTCTTAGCTGGACATCCAGCCTCATTGGACTTTTGCAGACGTTATAATGAGCTGCCGACGGTGAGATGAGCGGAGACGGGGAGGAGCCATGACACGTCTTCAGGGACAGCGGATACACATGGCAGCACCGGGTGATTTCTGCAGACAAGCCCGCAGGGACCTACCCAGCGCTGAGCCACTGAAAACTAGCCCTGGCCAGTTTGGCTCAGTGGATAGAGCCTGCGGACTGAAGCGTCCCAGGTTTGATTCCGGTCAAAGGCACATGCCCAGGTTGCAGGCTCAATCCCCAGTACGGGGCATGCAGGAGGCAGCCAATCAATGATTCTCTCTCATCATTGATGTTTCTATCTCTCTCCCCGCTCCCTTCCTCTCTGAAATCAATAAAAATATTAAAAAAAAAAGAAAAGAAAACTCACAGAGGCCATGTTGTCGCCAACGGGCAGGGGGGCTTTTGTGGATAAGGTGACAGCCGCCTGCCTATTCTCCAGGATGTAGCTTTCAATTCAGGTTTTGTGATCGGAAGAGAATTTCTGTACAGACTGAATACAATCCACTCTCAAGGGGTGCTTCTCCACCTTTCACCCGGGTCGGGGAGCCAGCCCAGCCCTGTCCTGCCACACTGCCGGGTCCTGCTCTCTCGGCCCCCGCGGAGCAGAAGTGTTCACATTGGATGGCGATAAACAAGCAAGAAAACACAGGGAAATGTTACCTGCCCAGCCAGCATTTCATATAACAGGACGCCATAGGCCCACCAGTCCACGGACTTCCCGTACGGCTGATAAGCGATTATCTGTGGGAAAACAAACACATCAATTACATTCAGTGGCAAATCAAAAAGCCTGCATTCAGACAGGTAAGTCAGGCATGTTGGCATTCACACGGTTTGCAAATGAGGGGGTGATGATTTGTCTTTGATTTCTATACCAAGGGAAGAACGCCCCTCAAATTGGGCATGCCAAGAACTGTCACCCCACGATTCACCGTCTCAAACCTATTTGGAACTCGTCTTCTGAATCCACCCCCCCAAGACGCCACAGCACTGAGGTCAATTTAATTATCCTCATTGGAGGAAAATATCTGGGCACTGAGTTGGATTTAATTTTTGGAAAAAAGCAGAGGTCATTCAAAGCTTGAGTCTCATAAATAAGATAACCAAATGAAGTAACAGAATTTCATTAAAATAAATTTCATTATCATCATCATCATCATAAAAAAGAAAGAGGAGGAGGAATGACTAAAGTAAAATTTCTAGTTTTCCTGTGTTGCTCACAGAGGTACCATGATATCTGATGAATGAATGAAGTTTAAAAATGCTTTAAAAGAGACATAAAATGTAATATTCGGACCTTGTCCGATCTTGGTTCTAACCAACCAACTGTAAAAAAGAAAGTGGGAACATTTAAATGTGGTCTTGATATCAGGTGATCTTAAGGGGTTACTGTTGATATTGTTAGGCAGGATGAATGGTATGGTGATTAGAGTGTCCTTTTCGGTTAGCCGGCTTGTTAAAACACTGGCTTTACTGCCTCGCAGGCAGGCTGTGCACCTAACACAATCCCCAGGCCCAGGATCACACCCCAGGATTCCAGGTGAAGACATACCAATAGGTACTCGGCAGGACCGTCCTGCCACTTTGCATATGAATTTGACTTAGAAATGTTCCAGGGCATTTTTAAACGTATTTTTATTGATTTCAGAGAGGAAGGGAGAGGGAGAGAGATAGAAACATCGAAGATGAGAGAGAATCATTGATTGGCTACCCCCTGCACGCCCCCTACTGGGGATCAAGTATGCAACCCGGGCACGTGCCCTTGACCAGAATTGAACCTGGATCCTCCAGTCCGCAGGCTGACACTCTATCCACTGAACCAAACCAGGTAGGGCCCAAGGTATTTTTTAAGAAATATATATTTTATTGATTTTTTACAGAGAGGAAGGAAGAGGGATAGAGAGTTAGAAACATCGATGAGAGAGAAACATTGATCAGCTGCCTCCTGCACACCCCCTACTGAGGATGTGCCTGCGACCAAGGTACATGCCCTTGACTAGAATCGAACCTGGGACCCTTCAGTCCACAGGCCGACGCTCTATCCACTGAGCCAAACCAGCTAGGGCCCAAGGTATTTTTTAAAAATATATTTTTATTGATTTCAGAGAGGAATGGAGAGGAAGAGAGAGACAGAAACAGGGGCTTGGGCGGCAGACTTCCTGCAGCACGTGGGAGGCTGAATGTCAGCTGCCAGCACAGACCCAGCAGGGCCGCGGGCCTTCAGTGCACTGCTATCTGTCATCATGATCATTATGGTTATACTAACATGAGCCCACGGCTTGGGGGTGTGTCGGGATGTTATAAATGGCTTCCTGTCTTATAAAACTGATGAGAAAGAATCATTGATTGGCTGCCTCCTGCATGCCTCCTACTGGGGATCGAGCCCGAAACGCTGGCATGTGCCCTGACCAGGAATTGAACCGTTCACAGGTCGATGCTCAACCACTGAGTCACGCCTGCCGGGCCCACACATTTTTTTATTGGCCCACACTCCCTGCCTGTCTGCCCATCCCTGTTGCTTTAAGGCAGCGCTGCCATTTCTCCCAGTGGGATGCGAGGCACAGCCTGTGGCTCACTTCAGTGCAGGCGACGACAAGAGGGTCGGGGTTTGGACGGGGTGTCTCTGTGGCTTATTCCTCGACAAGAAAACTACACACAAAGGGGCCCACGAGGGGGCCGTCACTGCTTTTTAAAACGGCATTTGTTCTTTTCTGAAAACTTGGAAAACACACACACGAAGCACTAAAACCCCGGCCAAAATGAGTCTCTGGTCATTACCTAGTGACCCGAAATGATGTCCCTCCAGGGCCCTGACAGGAAACCCCTGGACCACCACCTGTCCTGGCCAAGTTGAAGCACAGAAACTGCCTTTGGGAGAATGAAAGTGCGCCCGCCGAGCACTTACCACCCGCCCGATGCTCTCCACGCGTTTTGTATAACCCGATGAGACAGCAATGACGTTGTTCCCATTTTACAGGTGAGAAAACCGAGGGGTAAGCGTTTGGGAGACTTGCCTGAGCCCATCAGTTAACAGGTGGTGCTCAGAATAGCGACAAATTTGTTTTAAAAATACGATTTATGGCTTTCAAAGATATGTAATCACTCCTACTGGGATTAACAAAATATTCATCAAAGGGCTTTGAGGATTAAAGAGATCTGAAATCATTATTTCACTTTAGTATCTATATTTGAAAAGTACATGAATGAAATCTGTTCTTATAACTATATTAAAAGCAGTCCCTGTGATCTATTTTTAACAATCGGTGTTTTACTAGTAGTGTTTTTTTTTTTTAATCTTCACCTGAGGATATGTTTATTGATTTTAGAGAGAAGAGAAGGAGGGAAGAAGGGAAGTAGAGAGGGAGGGAGAGAGGGAGAGAGAGAGAGAGAAATATTGATGTGTGAGAGAAATATCAATTGGTTGCCTCCCACAACCTCGGTATGTGCCCTGACTGGGAATTGAACCGCAATATTTTGGTGTACAGGATGACACTCTAACCAGCTGCTGTGGGAGGAGCCGGCCTCGGGCTCATCTGCCCCCATCGGGGCAGGTGTCTCTGGCACTTGTGGGCCAATGGAGGCTTCCAGCCAAGCCCGGCGTGGGGGTGGGGAGCTGCCTGACGTCCTGAAACCCCAGGCAAGGGGCTGCCATGGCAATTTGGCTTCTCACAGCAGAGGACCTCACGGAAGGAGAGGCTGGCTTGGCGAGGGGCTCGGGCGGCAGACTTCCTGCAGCACGTGGGAGGCTGAACGTCAGCTGCCAGCACAGACCCAGCAGGACCGCGGGCCTTTAGTGCACTGCTCTCTGTCATCATGATCATTATGGTTATACTAACATGAACCCACGGCTTGGGGGTGTGTCGGATGTTATAAATGGCTGCCTGTCTTATAAAACTGAGCTATGCAGGAGCTTTCTCCCTGCCTGGGCGCAGGACCAGGAATGCAAGGGGCTGGGGGCAGCCTCGAGTCTCTTGCCCGGCCCAAGGCCCACAGTGGCAGGAAGACGTCACTCTAAGGCCGTCCACCCTTCCCCGCTCGGCCGGGCTACACACTGGAAGGCCTCCCCAGCCAGGATGGGACTGTGAAAGCTTTCTGTTTTTTTTAAAATATATTTTTATTGATTTCAGAGAGGAAGGGAGAGGGAGAGAGAGATAGAAACATCAATGATGAGAGAGAATCATTGATTGGTTGCCTCCTGCACGCCCCACACTGGGGATTGAGCCCAAAACCTGGGCATATGTCCTGACTAGGAATCCAACCATGACCTCCTGGTTCATAGGTTGATGTTCAGCCACTGAGCCACACCGGTTCGACTGCAGAAGCTTCTTGCAAGCACGGGGCAGCTCGGTGAGGACTGAGATGCTGCCGGCGACGGCAGGCATGAGGGTCACCAAGGTCACCATGACCTTCACCAGCTCTGTGACTTATTCAGCCCTCACAGGACCTGACAAGGCAGGGGCATCCCACTTCACAGATGAGCGCACAAGGCACAGAGAGGTTAAGGAGCTCGCTCAGGGTTGCACAGCTAGTAAGTGGCAAAGCCATTATGGGCAAAACTCAATCCTCAGAGTTGTACTTTGAGGAGGGTACTATGATCACCCCCATTTTACAGACGGCACCCCAAGTTCTTACAAGAGCAGCACGACAGCCTGAATTCACTGCGCTACGATGAAGAGAAAGCGCCTGGAGTCACACAGGAGGTGTCCCTCAGGGCGGACACTCAGCGTGGGGCTAGGATACAGCCGACCCCATCAGCCTGGTCAGGGGCACTGTCACCGGCCCTCCTCTCTCGTCAAGTGGGCCTCAAACTCCGTCACCCCAGCCCTTGTCTCTGGTTTCCCTGGGGCGGCAGGTGATGGGCTGGTGCTCGGGAAGCACAGGCAGGACTCACAGCGTGGTCACCACTCCTCCTCGGACAGAGAGTTGCTCAAAATGCTAGCTGTTGCCCAGCTGGCGTGGCTCAGTGGTTGAGCGTCAACCCATGAACCAGGAGGTCACGGTTCAATTCCCGGTCAGGGCACATGCCTGGGTTGTGGGCTTGATCCCCAGCGTGGGATCTGCAGGAGGCAGCCAATCAATGATTCTCTCTCATCATTGATGTTTCTAACTCTCTCTCCCTCTCCATTCCTCTCTGAAATCAATAAAAAAATATTTAATAAAAATGCTAGCTGTGCATCCCAACAGACTCACTACTTAAGCGGCGGAGGAATGGGCTGGGAGCCAGCGATACATTTGGGCCTGAAAGAGCTTGATTCTCGGACATAAAGATTTTCCAGAACTGGGCGGTCTCCCAGTCCAGGGGTCTGTATAGAGGCCCTCGATAATGGAGCAATCAGCGAGACACCGGGCGGGAATTGCCACTGAGGCACCAGGCAACCATGTTCAGCCACAAGAATTTTTACAACATGCAACACCTGATGATTCTCCCCTTAGATTGTCAAATAAAAACCGGACAACAGCCAATGCAATAATAGCTATGTGGTGTGAATGAATCAAAATTATATGTATTTCTTTTTGTCAGATAGGAAAAACATTTTTTTGGTGTGCCGCAGAGTTTTGGTGACTAGTTTATGTGGCACGAGATGGAAAGGGTTGGAAATCGCTGCACTAGGGCCACAGGCCAGGGTCCCGGCCCTGCCACTTGCGACCTGTGAGCCATGGACAGGTCACCTCGCCGCTATAGTCCCCTTGTCCTCATCTGTAAACAGGGATGATACCACTCCCCTCAGAGGACACTGTCA